TTACATACATCTCCTATATGTCAATAAGAAAATGAAACATTAAGAGTCAAATAATTCAGAACTGGTTATGAGGAAATCTGATTTTAGATCTGAGATTTTGTATTAATTCCAAATTCTGTTTTACTATTTCATGTATTATATTTTAATTTGTACTATTATGAGAAGATAAATTTTAGCTTGAAATATTTAACTAACAAGACTACGCATACACCATAAGAATATAACACATGAGTATAAGTACAATATTTACAAGGTAATTTTAATGATGCCAAAGCCTGTTCTGTGACAACATGAGGATGACTAGTCTGAAGCTAAGGGAACATCAGTTTATGGTGTTGCATATGTATAGAATTCATTGCAACAAAATTTAAAAAAATAAGATAATAGAATAGTTTAACTACTGAAATTATTTTCTCTATGTTAACAAATGTTCAGTAATCAGTAGACATGTCCATGCCCAATACAGTGGTAACTTTTTACTTTTATTCTCCTTAAGGTTATTAGCAACAAAGGCTAAAATGTAACTTGAATTTTATACCTTAGGTGTATCAAACTGAAAAATAATATAAAATATTTGTCTCACAAAACCAAGAGGAAAGGTAGCCAGGCTGAATGGATGGCCCACGCTCATTTCAAATTCCTGAATGAATATCCAAGGGGTCTGGGTATCTACTAATTTCATGACATAGATCACTTAGCAAAGGAGTAGAAACAAAAATCACAACTGATAACATTTTAAATATAATTTGCATCTTGAGGAGCAATTTTTTCCATATGCCACCTATGTTCATCCCTCACAGTATACTGCAAAATTTAACAGTTTAAAATATCTTAAAGTTTTTGCTAGCTTCACATTAGTTAACATTTGCTCCCTTCACTTTCAATTTCATTTTTCTTTCTTACTGTTCTAAATAGAAATTCTATGACTATCTTGTGCATTTTGCATGACATAACAGCATTTCAGTAACAGCTGCAGTGGGAGACTCAAAAATGAGAAGTAATCATAAAAGTAATATAGTATCTCTGAATGATTGGGAATAAAGTAATTCCCTTTATGCTGTAAAAGTATATGTATACACTTGAGTATGGCATGCAAACACATTTTCAATATATAATTTCTTCAATATATACACAAATGTATATATGAGCAAATACTCTAGATTGTGAAAAGTTAAAGTAAGGATGTTTAAGCTCTAAAATAAGCATTTCATTTAGAAAATTAAACGTAACTGTTTACCCTGAACCAAACTCACAGTACAACTATTACAGATTATTTTATTACTGTAAGAAGTTGTCAAATGTAAATAGGTCACTTTTTAAATTCTTTAACATTTTCATTTATACCCCTGCAAAAAGCACAATGGGGCCAAGAAAATTAATTCCCCAAATGCTGTCAACCAGGTTGGGAAACAGCAATAAACAGCTAACTGTAAAGCCTCCAGCTACAATAAAACTGCTTTCAATAAGAGCTGAGAGTTGGAGTATGCAAAAACAGGTCTTCTGGAAATGATAATCTGAAAGGGAAAGGGGCTGACATTTCTCGTCCCAATATGCTGAGGCAGTGGATCTCAAAGTGTGGTCCCTGGATTGGCAGCATCAGTATCACCTAGGATCTTGTCAGCAATGCAAATTTTCAGGCTTGACCCTAGTGATACTGAACCTAACCTCTGGGATTGGGGACCAACAACCCATGATTTAAGAAACATTCCAAATGCTTCTGAGACACCTTAAAATTTGAGAACTTAATATTATATTTTAAAAATCATACTCATTAAGGAGATATTTTCCTTTTAGAGAAAATATGCCAATGAGCTTTGTCATTTAAAGCCCTACTGGAAATGATAATGTTGTCATCTTCTCAACCTTATAACAGTGAACTTTGTTTACTTATGAATAAATATCAAGATATAATCTAGTTCTTTTAAAAAAGGGACATTTCATTCAATCTGTGAATACTAAGGATACTTCCAAAAATTCATAAAAAATAATTCAGTGACAGATTTGTTATATTCAAGGAAAATGAAAGTTTAGTAAAATAGAGTGGTTGAGGAATGTGGTTTATGAGTGTTTTATAACACATGAGGGAAAACAGCAGGGGAAAAAAAGTCAGACAAAATAAGAATCAATGCACTATAACCAAACTCATGGTGTAAATGTCAGACATTATGTTTTCATTGTACAGACAATACAAACTCATAATATTTAAGTTTGGTAACCCTTTGCTCAAGAATCTTGCATTTTACCCACACTTCAACTAGCACCATAAAGTGAAAAGGTGTTTCTGTTAACAGCAATCTTTGCCCACTCAACTAAAAATCTTCACAGATTATACCTTAGTTTATAAATTCCTTTGAAAGCTTTGGTTGTAATAACCCTACTTTTTCAAAATTGTGTTGCTTCAGGAGCACATTTTGTATTTACGTGAAGCCACTAGTTGAAGTGAAGGATCTAAAAAAAAAGAATTTTTACTTTTTAGCTTACCTAGAACATCTTTAATGACAGCCATATAGTTCAGTGAAAAAATAATTTAAAGGATAGTATATATATGTGTGTTCTTCATTCATAGAAAATATGCCTCTTTCATAGTAAAACTGTACACATTGCTATCACCATCACCTGTCCTTACTTCCAGAAGTATTCCTTTGAAAACTTCTTTAGAAAACTTCTAAAAGGTGTAAATAAGAAAAGCCATTTCAGTAGCTCTTTACCATAATAGTGAATTATAGCTACATTTGAACATTGAAATGCCTACAAGGAGAACAGCATAGTAACACATGGTCTCAAGGAATGTCTAAAATGCACTTTAGTTCCAGTTAGAGAATTTTTCAGCATCTTGTTTCAAAGATTACATCATACAAACAAATTTCCTATGACTGACTAAGCCTCGACAAAAGATCTTTCCCATACTTTGCTGAAATGCACTTAACGTTTATGTCACTGTACTATATATAGATTCAACTTTGGAGAAGAAGTCAGAAAAAGTGGGTCTGTACATCAATGCTCATAATACCCACCACACATAATATGAAAAGAAAGATGACGACGTGGGAATAATATCAGCATGTTTCTTCGGAAAACAAATTTCAGATTTTATATGAAAAGTTTTAAATCGTGTTATATTTTTCAAGATATTATGCAAATCATAAAATATCATCAGTATTCTGAGTGACTTTCCCATTAAAAGCAAATAATAAAAAGCCATGTTTTTTTTTCATTAAAATAGCAACTTTATATTTAAATCCACTTAGTTTCAAAACTTACTTTTCTCATCATGATTAACTATTTACCAACATTTATAAACCTCTACTAAACTCAGATATTTTCTTAACTTTAAAACATCAAACCTCTTTTAAAAAGCTCATGAAGTTAACATGAAAATAACTCATTCCAAATTCTATGTATATCCAGTAACTTCCGTATTCTCCTCTAGAACCTCCAAACTGACTTATTTTAATTCCTTTCATCCTCTGCATTCAAGCTCTTCTACTTCCTAAATGCTCTAGATATTTAATCTTTTAAGAAATGTAGATTTTAGTTGTAAAATCGTAGGCGTTATACTTAATGTTCTGAACGAATCTCTGTGATTCACTGCCAAAATGATTTTAATAAATATCTTACTACCATGAAACCTTAAAGTCACTGCAGAGCAACAAACATTGGATGGTGAGAGACAGAGTTTCAATAGACCATTCTCACCAGTCCCACCACCACAGGAAAAAAAGAAAAACTCTTGACTTTTCAAATACTAAGCAATGACTGTCAATACTATCCTGAAAATTTATCTTGCTTTACTTGATTCTCTAAAATCTGTATGTTCCTTATTTTTAACAAATTCAGATGGGTCATCACCATAGGTGGACTCAATACCAACAAAGATAGAACTTGGATTACAAAATCCTAGAAAGTTGGTGTGTGAGAGCTGATCACAAAAGAGCAAGCAAATGAACTGACATGCTAGTTGCTCCAGAGCAACTATCATTAAATAAAAGGTATCTTTGGCTATAGTACCAGCTTGATCTTTCCCTCTCCCTTTCCTTGCTACTGTGGGATTGGCAGCTGGCCAGCACAAGGGACATGATACCCTAGTGCCATCTACAGGCTATTATTGACACTCAAATTTCATGGCAACAGACAAGCACCAGTGAAATAAATTAGACAGCGCTGCATTTAAATCTTTATTAACAAGGAATTATTAGACCTAAGAAAAACTAATTCTGGATTTGGTTGAAATATGAGTTTCTCAGCCTCTTAATCCCTCTTCATATGGCATATTTCACAGATTAAAATGAGTTATGACAGATCACTTATGCATTACTAAGATGAGAGAATATTTACAATGGATTCATTCTTTTCTATATAAATCAGTTCTATTAGGGAGAAAGTATTCCTTCTTCTTTTTTTTTTTTGAAAGAGTACTTTGGCCATTGTGGACAATCTGCAAACCTTTCTATCCAACCCCCAATTTACTATATTACAATAAAATCATCTGAAATTAAAGAGGAGACTTCCTATATGGCTTAGTCGCAATCTATCAACAATCATGTGCTTCACAGCTGATATACATTTAATATTCTACTATCTTTTTTAGAGACTAAAAAAAAAATTAACCCCTTTAGCAACCACAGCTGTAACATAATTATAGTCACACCTTCAAACATCATTTAAAACTTGAGATTTGAAGGTGACTTTTGAGATCAAATGATAATGTGAAAATCTTGAAGCAGTCAATTTGGAAACCCCAGGAGCAGAATTTGGCCTATCAGGACAGGTTTTCTTCTTCAGCAAATATTATCTTGGGACATTTTGGAATAATTTCCTCTTTTCATCGTTTGCCATTTGAAGGAAACTGGGAGTTTAAATAATTCTCAGAACTCAGAAATTTCAAAGCTGTTCTAAAAATTCTTGACTGAGCCCCAGAGGAATAGAAAAGGGGTCAAGTTTTTTTTCCCCTCTTTATAACTAAGCTAAAGTTAGACCAAAACAAGAGACACACTGGCACGTTAATACTGGTTGACTGGGCACTTGTATGCAGTACTTATAGACCAGTAAAAGTGCTCATTTACCTGTCTGGTGTGTAAGGGGCCCTTTGTCTTGAAGCCTCCTTGGGAACTGCACTCTGAGGCACTGAAGTGATCTGAACTAGTGGAAGAGC